GTTCATGCTGGCGTTTTGTACCAGTTTTCCCACAAACTGGTTGCAGCGTTTATAAAAACGTTTTTGTATGTACTCCAATCTGTACCGGCTTGCGATTGGTGGTTTAACTGTGTGGCGAAAATCTGTTGAAATTTTTCTCGATGAATATTGCTTTCCAGCTTCCACGTTTTGATTCTCCGAGGCATTTGTTTAGACTTATGTTGTGACAGTTCAACAACCAGGTCTGCCACAAGGAGTCTATGTTGGGCGACACATGATTCGCCAGGTATAACTTTGACATTTTTGAATAGCCTTCGGTGTTGTTGCTTGACAGCAAAGAAACCAATTTGCGTGGCTGATGGTCCACTTTTGTATGTTATGAGATGTTCTAACCTCTTTCTAAAATTTGTGTTCAGTAAACAAAACCCGTGACTTTCAGCAAACTTAAGGATGTGTTTACCATCTTCATTCCGTTCTTCATAGCCAAAACCGCCATGTACGTTGTCAAAACCATCTGTTTTCTCTACAACGTGGCCATTGAGATCGCCTCCAATCAGGATTGTTTCAGATTTTGGTTTTGTTGAAATGATGTCAGAGAACGCAGCCCAGAAGTCATTTTTCATTTCTTCTGATTCGCCTGACTGTGGTGCGTATGCAGAAAAAGTAATCATTGTTTGCTTTTCTAGGCGAAGCTTGATCCACATGAGACGTGAATTAATCCTTTTAATATCCAGTACTTCTTGGGCTAGCGGTTTTTTGACAAAAATTCCAACACCATTTTTGGCCGTCTTTTTACCATTCCAGAATAGTTTATATTTTTCTTTATCTGAGTTGATATGACAGACACCATTCGATTTCTATCAGATCTCGAATGGTGTCAATTTTTAAGGATGATTAAGCAGAGAATGTCTTCCATAAAATATCACAAAAAGTAAATTTTATTTGAATAATACTCGCGCTCACATAAATTTACAAATATCCGTTAAACATTAAATAGACTGTAAATAAACTGAATTAAACAGCCTGCAGTCTTATTCAATATTTTAATTCAAGTGCCACTAAACATATCAATCATAAAAAAATTGTAACTGGTTTTGTATATAAGAAAGAAGTTAATATTTTTATGAAAACTTATTTAGCAACCCTTCTTAACAAATACTAATTAATTGAAATAAAAAAACCGTCCCTATCGTTACAATTTTTTTTGCAATACAATTATATATTTAAACATCCAATTTAATATAGTATTATTTTAAAAATCAATCGTTACCAATGCAATACAATAATGTCTATAAATCAAATACAATATTATAGCATTGATTTATATATCCAATATAATATTTATACATCCACACTATTACATACTTGTTTTGTTTCAGCTTCTCATTTTCCTCACTAACAGACCTTAGTTGGTTTCTGAGATGTTCCAATCTGAATTATTAGAATGTACATAAATGTGTTAAGATAAATAATTTCAATACAAAAACTGATTTGTAATGTCATAAAATTAAACTTCACTTATTACTACTACCAGTAAGTTCATCCCAAAAAACTGTTGCAACAAACCCTCCCTGCCAGGTAACTGCATTAGGTTTTCGTCAATGGAGCGGGCCACTCCGGTCATCCTGCTCCTTATCTTCCAACTAAGAGCCGGTATTGAACCTAACTACCACCCTCAACAAAATTATAATTTGATCAGGCAGACTGTCATTGTTAATGTGTTTATACCTATGAAGATGATGTAAGAGGAAATTGTTAAAAGTTTATCCACACAATACGTCAGTAGCTTTACATAATACAATCCGTCCAGAATTTGGATCAACATTCAATCAATCCTCGTTTTGCAACCAGAGTCCTGGTTCCACGAGGTAGGACGTTGTTTTCTTTGCCATCAACTTTTTGCGCCAAATGAGACGATCAGTTGTGTCCATTTTATTTAAATTTATAGCTTTCATGTCTTGTTCGATTGTTTGCGACCAGGACTTCTTTGGACGGCCTTTGGGACGTGTGCCAGATACTTCAACATCTGCAAGAAAAGTTATGGCACTGTTTCTACTTCGTTTGACATGACCAGAGCACCGCAGACGGTGTTGCCGGTATTCTTCCTTTATATCATCTAAACCAGCACGACGCAGGATTTCGGTGGATTTGATGTGGTCCTTCAGACTAATTCGTTGCATCCATCGGAGCATTTTCATGTCGGTTCGTTGAAGTTGTTGTTCCAGTTTGGTTCTCATTGGCCATGTTTCTGCACCATATAACAACACCGGACTTATCACAGATTTATAAAGTCTTGATAGTAGTGGTAGTGGGATGTCACGCCGCATCAATATAGAGGCAAGGAGATGCCATTTATTCCAGGCTGCACGTATGCGTGCTCGAACGGCAGCTTCAGCTGTTCCAGTACAATCCAGAACATCCCCTAGATATTGAAACGATGTGACTTTCTCTACCTTAATAGCTTCAAAAACATTGCTATTTCGAATTTGTTGTTGTGGATTGATGCAAGCAGGACAAACAAAATTGGACACTTTAGATAAAGTACTAATTTTTTTTTAACAACGTTTGTGACACCACTGGTTACACTGCTGAAACTTGATTGAATTGTTACCTACACCAGCTTTACAAACTGAACAGGGCCATCGTCCAGTACCTGTGGATTGGATGGGTTCACCAGTGTTCATTGCTTTGGTTTTGCTGATGTTGACTTTGAATCCATGATTGGCGAGTCTGGTGTTCCAATCTTCAAACATCTGTGCTGCAATCTGCTCAGACGTGGCTGTTAAAACGATATCATCAGCATATATTAGATTCCAAATGTCAACACTGCGTATCGGTTTTGTGATTTCTTCCATCACAGTTATAAATAACAGTGGACTGAGAATCGAGCCTTGGTAAATTCCATCGCCGATGTCAAATGCATCTGTGTTTCCAACCATAGTGCTGACGAGAGTCTTAGTATTCGTATACATTTCTATCACAAGTCGAACAAGATATCCAGGAATTAGTTGTCGACGTAGACTCCACCTGATTGCTTCACGGGAAACTCGATCAAATGCTTTTTCAAGGTCTACAAAAATGTGTGATAGTTGTTGATGCTTTGCCAGGTACTTCTCTTGCAGTTGCCGAAGAATGTGAATTGCATCAATTGTTGATTCCCCGCTAGGAACCTAATTTATAATTTCCGATTGTGATTCACGACGTTAATCTTCTCTCAATGATTTTCTCGACAATTTTCAGGGAGTTTTCTAATAGACGTATACCCCGATATGATGACAGTTCAA